GTAGTAGTAGTAGTAGTAGTAGTAGTAGTAGTAGTAGTAGTAGTAGTAGTAGTAGTAGTAGTAGTAGTAGTAGTAGTAGTAGTAGTAGTAGTAGTAGTAGTAGTAGTAGTAGTAGTAGTAGTAGTAGTAGTAGTAGTAGTAGTAGTAGTAGTAGTAGTAGTAGTAGTAGTAGTAGTAGTAGTAGTAGTAGTAGTAGTAGTAGTAGTAGTAGTAGTAGTAGTAGTAGTAGTAGTAGTAGTAGTAGTAGTAGTAGTAGTAGTAGTAGTAGTAGTAGTAGTAGTAGTAGTAGTAGTAGTAGTAGTAGTAGTAGTAGTAGTAGTAGTAGTAGTAGTAGTAGTAGTAGTAGTAGTAGTAGTAGTAGTAGTAGTAGTAGTAGTAGTAGTAGTAGTAGTAGTAGTAGTAGTAGTAGTAGTAGTAGTAGTAGTAGTAGTAGTAGTAGTAGTAGTAGTAGTAGTAGTAGTAGTAGTAGTAGTAGTAGTAGTAGTAGTAGTAGTAGTAGTAGTAGTAGTAGTAGTAGTAGTAGTAGTAGTAGTAGTAGTAGTAGTAGTAGTAGTAGTAGTAGTAGTAGTAGTAGTAGTAGTAGTAGTAGTAGTAGTAGTAGTAGTAGTAGTAGTAGTAGTAGTAGTAGTAGTAGTAGTAGTAGTAGTAGTAGTAGTAGTAGTAGTAGTAGTAGTAGTAGTAGTAGTAGTAGTAGTAGTAGTAGTAGTAGTAGTAGTAGTAGTAGTATGATGTTGCAGGTGTGTCAATAGCAGTAGCCAGTTCCTTTTGTAGTTGTGATCTGCTTTGAAGGGGTTCACTTTTTATCATGTCGTCCTGCATATCTGAAGCCAAGAGGTGTTTCATGCCGTACGCACAGTTTTCAGCCCTGCCAGTTCACACCCAGCAGGTCACTAAATATGCCATATTGCGTTTTGTGTAAACTGTGATATTCTAACTTCTTTTGGCTTTGTATTATTGTCTTGACGGATGTTAGAGTAGAAAGTAAAGCTATCCCTGTTAACAGGCCGTGAAGGCCCATAGGGTTGTGAGACGTTGAGGGTCCCACATTATCTAGACAATCGGCTCAAAGATAGTGGTAAGGCTCTCAGCCTTACGCGCCGGCCTCGCTTTACTCCCCAGGAAAATTATTTTAATTCTTGGTATTCATTTGTGTTAGAGACTGAGTCGACCCCAGGGCCATGCTGCTGGAAGGATTAGGTCAATTGAAAAAAAAATCCAATGACCTCATCGGGACTTGAACCCGCGACCTTCCGGATTGTAGCATAGTGCCTCCGGATGTTAGACAGTAACTTACGGTTTCAGATCTGACAAACCTGATATTCTGTTTATCAAGTGCATCACAGACCGTGACGTGTCTGAAAACTGTAGCAGTCATATGCCTCGATTACTAACTTGATTTTCTTGTGCCAGAAGTTTCAACACCATAAATTCCAAAGCTTGCCAATGGTCCTGAACCTGAGCCAGCTCCATCCACCTACAATTCTGACACAGTCAGTTTCGCTTGTCTTACAACTAGGCCTACTACTTTCATGATGTTCCCACCAAACTTCAGTGGGCCTACTTTTTGTTGTCTTCTTCCTCCCAGCTACATTTCGGGCCATCATCTCCTGGGTTTCACTGTGCGCTGAAAATACTAGGCGAAGTTCAATCCTACTCAAGGCGGTTTAGAAATAAGCTCCATCCCACTTGAAGCGGTTTAGGCTTAAGTTCCGTCCCACTTGAAGCGGTTTAGGCATAAGTTCCGTCCCACTTGAAGCGGTTTAGGCATAAGTTCCGTCCCACTTAAGGCAGTTTACGCATACGTTATGTCCTATTTAAGGCACTTTAATAGATGTTTCTGGTCACTTTTTAAAACGCTTGTAATTTATACCCAGGCTCTGTACTCTTCTCTTAAAGGAGGAGACGTGAAGTGAACTCAAGAAGTGGGGGGTGCTTACATGCTTATAACGCATGTATCAGTGCATTCCAAAAAAAGGGTTCAGCTCCTGTAAACGGAATAAGATACAGTATTTTTGAATTTATGCTTCTCTGTATTTCTTCGAGGACCTGCTGCTCGCAGAAGTGTACATTTCTGAACAATTTCAGTTCAATTATTCGCAGCCTAGTAGGCACACTACAACTCTTTCAGATTTTGGTTTTGTGACATGTTAATTCCTTTAATTAGTTTATGTCTAATCAACTGCTTTGACCATCTACAGAGTAACTTCATTACTCTTCGAGGTCGGGGTTCTCTCCGAGTCTATTAACGCCATCAGCATATAACATTCAGTAACATAAAACACCAGACTGCTATGTGATTTTTGCCAAATATATTTTCTTTTCTTTTACGCTTAAGACACTTAATAAATATTCTTTAGTGTTTAAAGAGCACAGTACTGAATCTATAAATTAGTTGATCAATGGATAAAAATTATATTTGTTTACAGACACAAACTTCTCTGCGGCCACAAACGACAGAATTTTCCTCTTCTACAAGTTTCAAGGCAGAGCGTGTCTATACCTGAGAACACGCCTCTGCGTAATGCGTGGGTGGGTCTCCAGGAAACAGAACTTCAGTTGCATGTTTTTGTATATTAACACTAGGTTCTCAACTTCGTCTCTTTGGAAAATGAGAATCGGAAGTGGAAGGTTCGTCACCGCTCAAACAAAAGACATGGGTTCTTGTACTTAAGTACCCGCAGGATGGAATGATTAAAAAATTTTGATACTTGGTATTTCTGATGGACCCCAATCTCCGAAGATTATTCTAAACACAAAATGACATGCAGGTCTTAATTTTCAACTGAAGTGAGTTCCAGTTCACTCACAGTTCTGCACAGCAGGAGTCTGGTAGGCCCACTTCCCTACATTTATTCATATTTTGTCGCTTCCATCAACTGTTTTGGAACTCTCGCTGAAAGCGGCAGGGGCATGAAGCAGACCACCCACTTCCAAATAGTGCCAAGGTTCAGAATTGTGGAGCTGTATCTCCACTCCCGTATACGTCTTTATGACGTGAAGGTTAATTACTTAAAGCCCAGAAATAACTTTACCTTCTTTGCGTTACTGTTAATGAAATGTGTTTTCTTTTCACAAAATGAAGGAAAATTGTAAACAGGAAATTTCAATCGAAATGATGGGAGGTAGTCCATGAACGAACAGACATTCTGTTTGTGTATTATTTTCTTATACTTCTCTGACACGTGACTTTGTGTCTGCCTATGCGAACGGCCTCAGGACTTTCAGCAGTTACATTCGATGCCTCTTCGTGTATTCAGTTCAGCAAACCTCACCTTCACTCTACAGACTCTTAATAATAGGCCTGGTTATACAGCAGAGAATGACCGGGTCAGAACTCGGAGACACTGTCTTCAGAAAGCGTTGTTCTTCGTCATGCAAGGGGGCACGCGGTAGCGCAGTTCGTTGAGGCACTATGCTACAAGCCGGAAAGTCGCGGGTTTGATTGCCGATGAGGTTACTGGGCTTTTCAATTGACCTAATCCTTCCCGCCGCACTATAGGCCCTAGATTTGGCTCACCTCTAACAGAAATTGAGTACCACAAATCTTCGTGGTGATAAAGGGGGATGGGGGGTATGGCTGACAACTTTACCTCCATGTCAGCTGAATGTCTAGAAAAAATGTGGGAACCTCGACGTCTCACAACCCTATGGGCCTCCACGGTTTGTTACAGAGATAGCTCCACCATTTACCTTTACTCTCGTCACAGAAAAGCCGAGGTTATACTCTTCGGTTTGTAGGGCCTATATTAACGCGTAGCAAGGGGCTAATTAATTTTTTCTGCTACATTTCGTTAATTCATGTAATTTAAAAAGGAGATGTTATTTCGATGTCACAGAAATTGTTTCCAAACAAAGCACGTGTGGGACGCGCCTGCCATGAATTTGGCAGTCATTTGAATTAGGAATCTGCCAAGTGCTTAATTCATTCGGAATTTATATTGGAGACTTACGTTACGCCAATGCTGTAATAAACCTGATTCATTATGAAAGTGCAGCCTATTAATTTCTTGTGAACTCGGAAATTATGTTCAGGAGAGTAACAAATTACTTAGTGATTTTTTCGGTATCCATTTCGGCATTCAGAGACTCGAGAGAGGCTCTTTTTTCCAACACTGATTTTTCGCAAATCCTATTCACACCAATCAGCCTGAATTATATCAGATGAGGCCTAAATATTCAAGTGTTTTATTTCTGCCACTACACCTGAGATATCACCAAACTGAAGTCTGTATTTCAAACACATATCAGCTTAACTGCTAAGCTGAAGTAAAGTTTTCTGATGTCTGTGTGTCACAATAGAAAAAATAAGAAAAAATATGCTATTAAAACACTATCTACATGCTAAAACGCAATCAATATTTAGTTATCATATACATGTTACTTTGATGTCACTAATGCTCTGCAGCCTACAGTAACACACTTTTCGCTGTAACCGAATAAATTACTGTCCGGTTCTACCCAAACATTAATTTAGTTATTATGATTTATATATAGTATGTACAACATAACTAAACTGAAATCTATGTTCTATAGGCTAGATAACATTTCAATGTCACTAAAATTTTCCTGCGTGCAAGTTACCACAAATGTCGCAAAATAAATTATATTAAAACAATATTTTAAACTTCAGACTTCAAGAATACTAGCCAAATCAATATATTCCCAAAACCGTGGCCTCTTTATTTTAATGTCACTCAAATGTTACGGCTTACACTACAACTGAAATAAAAAATGTTCTAAGGACGCAGATTTTTCGTCGCTGGGGTTGTGGACTTTTCTGCATTTTCTAAAACATGTTACTTTTATATCACTTAAAAATTCTTTCGCGAGCCTTGGCTTTCACTAAAAATGAGCAACATTAGAAACAGACGTCTGATCAGTTATTACAGTGTCCTTGACGGAGAAAACTGTAAGATGTATATAATACATATATTTTCTCACGGACCTCCACAAAACCTACTGACACATATATCGTTGCGTGGGTGGTTATGTCCTCTTACCTGAACTGTAGGAGATCCACGGAAGCCAAACTGGGCCATGTTGCGGGGGGGCACTCCCTCCGCGACCGCCCGATGCGTGAATTGGCGTGGGATCTCAAAAGCAAGTTGACGCACACATATACACACGCGCACACACACACACACACACTGGTCGGTCTGTCAGTTTTCGCCTGGCTTCTTCATGTTGGCCACTACACTCACTGGCACCTAAGTCTATCCTTCAGGCCACAGCACTTCCGTCTTGGCCATCATTCTGCCGTTACATTGACGTGTAGTCAGTTTTCACTCTGTGGTTATGGGAACGGTGTTCTTCAACGCTTTTGGTCCGCACTGCAATATTAACCTATGTACTGACTTTGGTTTTTATTTAAATACGCAAAATTAAATATTTTGTATTCGCTAGTACTGTAATACATCGGTAAGATAGTAAATTCTTTGACGTCCAACACAACGTGTTCTGTACCCGGAGTGTAACTGTAGCACTGAAACATCAGCTGCACTAGGTCGTAACACATAAACGTAACTCATGACGCGGAGGCATAACAATGTGTTTTTTTAGTGTAAACTATATCACAGTTATTACGAGTTGGAACACGTGCTCACGTATGATTCACATGTGGCTGAGGTTAGGCCTAGCGGTAGTACGGAGTTGAGCCACCCCCTCCACACCCCCTGCTACTGCAGGAACCAACGGGGAAACAGGCTGCATTGCATTCACAACTGCACAAACACACTGAACACTGTCTTCAAGCACAAGCGTGCCAATTATTTTTTTGTAATTGGCACCGAGAACTAGGCACGATGCATCAGCAGAGCTGCAGTACTTTTCTTTCGTTGTTCTGCGGCCGGCTGGCTTGTTGGCGGTGGCGATTTTTCCGTGAGTGGGTGGGCACGGTAGCACTGTGGTGGGGGGATTCCAAACATAAGTAGTCACTCTTTGTAGCCTCCTGGAACGACGTCGTCGCCGTGACGCTGTCCCCCCAAGCTACGAGTTGTGATATAATAACACTAGCGGTTAGCCCGAGGGGGACACACTCAGGAGGGGGTAGAAAAACGCGATTTTTGTTAGAATCCCAAAGTTTCGCTTTTGAGTACGATCGTTGGAGGAGAGATGACAAAAAAGGGGGAGGAGCAGATTTTTTTTCCCCTTTCGGGTTGATGTTCTAGTGAGTTGTATGTTATATAGTTTGTTTCCACACCTCTTCACTCCCCCCCACTCCATACACACACACACATACTCACACACTAAACTTCACAAGCCCTCCCCTACTTCCCCTTCACCCCCCTCTTTCGACGGTCTTCCAGCTTATCCACACTATGTAGACGGCAGCAGTGGACAGTATTAAATAGCTTTCAGGGGTACTGAGGTTCAAGTCTCACCTCCCCTTGAGTAGTAGCCGCTGGGCCGCGCGTACGGTCGCCGGCAGGCAGGCCTGACCTGTGGGCGAGAAAAACCGCGACTCCACGGGACGTGTCGTCTGCTCAGCACTTGAAGTTTTTCGCTTGCGCTTCTCAACTACTTTTTGATTCTGCTAAAGCAATTGAACTCTTTTTACATCAAGCCGAGACTCCACAAGCGCAGTAGCATAGAGAAGGGGGGTTCAAAAAGGGTGGAATCTTATAAGCCTCGAAACAAAAAAAAATTTTTGTGAGACCCTTCGCTCGGCGGTGTTGCTCAGCGTTTGTAAAAGTAAAGCGGCGGGAGGGGCGCGCCACTTGGCCCGGGAGCAAGGAGTGAAGTGGAGGGGAGAAACACCGGCGCGGTTGTTCGTTTCCTTCACCGCTGAGATCCTTTTTTTCGTCACCCTCCTGGGAGCATCTCAAGGAAGTCTCTCTGTCTCGCGCTTACGCTGTTACATTTAGTCAGGACCATATTTCCCCTCCAGAGGCTCCTCAACAATTCCAACTTCCTCCCCTCCTGCCCCTACTTCTTTCTAGCAATCCCCCTCTTCTTTTTTCCCCTCTTTTCCCGACCTCGGCGTCAAAGCCGAAAGGCAGTCTCGTGATAGGTTACATGATAGTATCTCGCCCCGCCTCCTCGCGCCGGGAGACCCACATCTCGTCCAATCGTGTTACTTGATACACACCATGATAGATCGGTTATAGTACAGCTGTTACTATCCCTCCCTCCTTGTCCGACATACCCCTCCCGCACCTACAATAATACCCACAATATAAATCCTCCCTCCCGCTCGTTCCAATGGTGGCCTTTGTCGTCACACTAAGTTTCGCGACATCTCTCCCTTGCCGACAGTTCGTTTACAATTCCTACACCCCTCCATCCCGCCAGCACGCTCTTTCACGGTTCTTGCTGGCCGTCAGGACTTTACAAGGGAACAATGAGTTAAGTCGGGAGCAAGATCCCGGGGCTTGGGTACAAAGCAGTGGACTGGTCGATCGATATGACACGATTTGGTGCCCACTTCAAGGGAAACTGTCACAACTTGCGCGCACATCAGGAAGTGGAAGCGCTTACACAACGAAACTATGAAGTTCCACAACGAGGCAGACTGGTTTCGGACTCTGACCGGCGTTCGTTTCCCGGCAACGTCCACCACTGTCTTCACAACGGCTCTGGTGCCCACTCAGACTTTTAACCGACAAGTACCGTAGGCTACATCCATTAGTCTACCATGTTCTTAAAGCGTGGAGTTTTATCACCACTCCCCTTAAGCATGCTGAGGTTGGCACTATGCTGACAGAAAGAAATTCAAGAGCCCTTCAAAAATTATAATATTAATAAATATCAACAAAATCTTTCTTTTATTTCTTTTTCTATTTCTTCTTCTTACGATGCGAATTTGTTCTGCCTGCAGAGGCAAGTCTGAGAGCTGTCTCTTTAACGCCACCAAGGTTTCATGTCTGTACATAGTTGAGTGCCTGAATTGAATAGGCCATGTCCAGTTAACCAGCTAATTATCTGGAACTGAACCCTTCTTGAGAAGCCTCCAGTCGCCAAATCACTCGAGAATTTCCCAACATTTTACGGAACCGAAAGATTCATCACCGTGTACACAAGAGCCCTCCACTGGTCCCTATCCTGAGCCAGATCAATCCAGCCCACACCACTCCGTCCCATCTCTCTAAGACCCATTGTAATACTATCCAGCCACCTACGTTTATGTGTTCCTAGTGGTCTCGTTCATTCCGGCTTTCCGACCAATATCCTTTATGCATGCCTCTTTTCCCCCATTCGTGCTACATGCCCTGCCCATCTCATCCTCCTTGATTAGATCATTATAATTATACTGGGAGAAGTGTACAAGTTATAAAGCTCCTCATTATGCAGTTTTCTCCAGCATCCTGTAATTTCATTTTTCTTGAGTCCAAATATTTTCCTTAGCACCCTAAGCTCAAACGGCTTCAGTCTAAATTCTTCCCCTAGCGCCAGAGACCAAGTTTCACACCCATACATGAGTACAGTAAAATGTATAGTTCTGTACGTTTTAATCGTTGCGTTTTTAGACAGAAGACAAGTAGACGAAAGGTATTAACTGAAGGAATAATGTGAGAGAATATTTCAATATAATTTTAATACGTAATTTATAGCAAATCGTGCTTTCAAACCTACTGAGAGTACGTATTATTGTAATGGGCTTAGGGTTACACGCGGGTTACAGACTGCAGCTTGGGTCGAGTCTGGAGAAGTCTGTTCCGAGCCCACAAATTGAGAAAACTATAAATTATTTGGTGGCGGGTCGCGATGGTGCGATGCGTTTCAGTACTGACTTCCTCTTCCCGCCCTGATTTTTATTCCTAAAATTTGTCTTCCTTGTAGGTGTCCCACTCACCAGAATCCCTTGCAACTGAGGCCAAAATGTAGGTACGCATAATCGAGGCAACGCCCTAGATAATTTGTGTGTGGCCTAAGAAAGGGAAGGTAGGAACTGCGCTTTTTACAAGTTCTGTTAAACTTCAGAAGAGATTAGTTAGTGTTCTTGAGCGCCAGATCTCGGTTGTAGCGCTGAGTGGATTAAGACAAACAACAGGACTTGTTAGATGTACGAACTGAATATCACAATGCACCCCAGTTAAGATCACAGGAATATAGGTCTACGGAGGTTTTCGTACCAGATGTCTCAGGGTTCGACGTTCTAAGACCGGAACCCGTATTGATTAGGTACATAACCTGAGTTCCCGGACAGCCTGCATGTACTCGTAAATACTTCGGCAGATGGCGTAATAGTACATTGCGATTGAGGACTAGGAACATAATTGAAGTGAAGCTATCCTTGTAACACGCCGTGAAGGCCCGTAAGATTATGAGACATCGAGGCTCCCACATTTTCTCCAGACAATTGGCTCACAGATGGCGGCAAGGTTGTCAGACTTAGGTGCCGGCCACCCTTTACCCACCAGGGCCACAGTGCTGCTGGAAGGATTAGGTCAATTGAAAAATCCACCTCATCGGGACTCGAACCCGTGACCTTCCGGCTTGTATCATAATCCCTCAACCAAATGCGCTACCGCGTGCCCCACCAATACTTAATTGGGATGGTGAACACAATATTTGTACTGGATTAATTGTAATTTCATGCTGTCATGTTAGTAAACTAGATTAAGTGGTATTTTCCCCGTGTCTAATTAACGCAATATGGACGCGTATAGGGTGAGGAGATAAAGCTTAAAGTGTCTAGGTCTCGGCTCTCAATGTATCTAAGTGGTCAGCTTCAAGTTTCGGCAGTTTTATTCCGTATTCGTTAGTATATTCGTTAGCTTGCGTAACCCTCGTTAGATCTCGTGACATCAGCAGGAGATGTCTGTAGCAACTTCCGGACCGCGTCTCGCTAAATCCGCCTAGACATGAAGCAGCGCGCAGATTGCTGCAAAGGGGAGGACACATCGCTTTTCTGTTGACGACTCTCTCCTACCGCTTGGAGTTATCTGAATTTTTAACTGCTCCCTAGATGGCAGCATCAGACACCGTGTGATAAGCTCGGGGATTTAGAGGAGTCAGAAAATTCAAAAAGAGATAGAATGAAATTTGAAAGGGGTGAAGGGAGTAGGGGAAAATCCCACACTCCAAAGAGAACGAGCGGTATTTGAGCTACGGTTTCTCGGCGGGGAGAAGCGACTGCGGTTCGGCTAGGAGGATGGTGGAGGAGAGGGTTGGTTGCCTTTTTCGTCTCTCTTCCCGCAGGCTTTGCCTTGATGCTGTGTTGATGTAACAAGGTAGAGGAGATGGAGGAACCGCATGTAGTACGTGACATGGCCGATGGAGGTCCCCACTGCTCAGTAATGAAAGAAAAATGTACGGTGATGAGAAATTAGAGTGGAGAAGCACAGCTTGTCTGGTTTCCGCGTATTGCAGAGTTGTCTCTATCTATCTATCTATCTATCTATCTATCTATCTATCTATCTATCTATCTATCTATCTATCTATCACAGTAGCCGTACAGTTTAAAGATCATACGTTCTTGGAGCGCACGAAACGGACTTATGGGATCCCAGGTTCGAATCTCGACTCAAATTTTGTGATTACTGGTACGAATCTTGCTGGAGGCGTGGATGAAGGCTGTGTATAGCAGTTTCTCGCCTACATTTTATCCTAAAGGAAAAAGTAGGCCCAGAAGGATTCATGAGATATATGGATTAGGCCTGTATTATCATGACTCGGTCGTCAGGACCTCGTTTATAATAACCTTGTATGCTGTGCCACGGGAAGGTGATGCTAGACTTAAAGAGGCACCTATTCTTCTCTTTGTGCCTGTCTTGTAGAGAACGTGTGGAGTAAGAAAATAGTGTTTTTTTTTTACCTGTAAATTAAATTTCTGTATACCCAGGCCTAATTCTGAAACTGTGAACAGCTACGTCCTTTTGCTGTTATGCAGACGGCTTATTATGCAAACTTCCTTTTGTGCCCCCTCCCCCCTCATTTTTTGTAAACTAACCTCGTTCTGCTATTGTATTTCCACGGTAATTTAGACTATAATTTACTATTTTTGAGAATCCGGAAATAGCTAATAAGACTACGGTCTTCTGATATGTGACGTCGTGTAATTTGTATATAGGTACAAACGTTTCGGAGGAATCTTCTGCCTCCATCTTCGTAGTGGAAATTTATAATTGCATAGAATCTCCGGCCACCTGTCTCCACCAGTTCAATCGGACATACATAATGTTCGCTTCTTTTCACGTATGCAGGGTAGTAGTCTCTTCCGCTGT